AGAGTGCGTGATGTCACAGCTAGAGGGTATAGAAAATCTTGAAATTTGCCTTCATATATTTTTTTAAAACTGCCATAATTCCCAAACCCTACATTCCTGAGACATAATTTATCATGACAAACGTAGGAAAAGATCTCGTAGCTTGAAAAATGACAAATAATTAAGCAAAATAATAAAACAAAATGCCTCTTGAGGGCATGAAGTGACAAAAACGTTCAACATTCCTCCATTAAACCCCATTGTAATTTCAGGCTGATATTTCCTCACCGCGTCAGCCGCACACCTGTAGTTAAACTGCCAAAAAGGCCACATTATTAACCCGAAACTACACAAAATGAATTACACTTCAGATACTCAACTTCCTTGACATGCTTCACGTTTTGAAATTTCACAGATATCTGTTACGGTTCTTCCACAAAACGTTCACATGTAAGAGGTTTATCTCTCATTCAGAACAATGGAAACCTTTGATATCTGGACACCTCATTAGCTCAAATATAAACACCTGTGTAATGGAACACGATGATGTCATCACTCCCACTGACATGCTCAGAGCAGCAGACTTCAGATAGCAGTGTGCTAACAGTCCAGCCGTGAAGACATCTACGGGACAGTTTTGAGATTTCTTTAAATGTCGTTGCCATGAAACACGGTTTTCTCATAACTTCAGTGAAAATACTCCAAACAGCCCAGAACTTCACAGGTTTGGTAACCATCGTTACCAAACCTGTGAAGTTCTGGGCTGTTTGGAGTATTTTCACTGAAGTTATGAGAAAACCGTGTTTCATGGCAACGACATTTAAAGAAATCTCAAAACNCACACACACACACACACACACACACACACACACACACACACACACACTTTTTTCTTACCTTGGAAGAAACTCTTGACGCGGAGGTAGGACACTGCGAGGCGCAGCACGGACAGCTTGTCCAGCTTGGAGATGACATCCGGGGGGAAGGGCAGCAGGCTGGCCAGCCGGTCCAGCTCAGCGTTCAGCCTGTCTCTGTGCCGCTTGGACGGGTTGGTTTTCTCATTGGTAGAGGACTGCTTCCTGATGACGAGACAGACAGAGTGAAAAGAGATAGACGGGGTTAAATGGACGTGTGTTTGTATAGACATGTTTTCTTTCAAAGTCATGCATTCAGCTGTAAAATAAGAATAGTTACAGCTACATGGCTCCGACTAAGTCATGTGTTTAGTTGGGACATACTTGACTACACTGAGAAGCTCCAGGCAGTGCATGACAGCAGCACACAGGCAGGGACTAACTGCACTAGTTGGAGACGTGCTACAGTGAATGACAAAGTTACTTTAAATCTCATCCACTCGACATGACCATGGCTTTTTTTATTTAGTTTAAATGTATTATAATTATGAGTGATTTATATATTTCCTAATTGAAACTCTTATTTCAGCAAAAACAAACTCATATGCACTTAAAAGTGCAGCGATGTTTTACTCAAAAACTATTTTACTTGCACCAAACAAATGTATTTTAAATAAATTGTTTCCAAAAAGATAGCTGTCATTTTCGTGTAATATGTTTTCTCCTTAATCATGTTTTGTGTGGTTAAGAATGGCAAGCACTCCACCGACCCAAGAAGAGAGATATGATCAAATAAACCACATTCTGCAAGTCCCTAATTCTGCCCTGTATTTGCTTTTGAGTTCCCCAGTGCACAACGCACCACACTCATTTGTGTAACCACCAATGACAAGTCTTTTTAATTTGCAGTTAGATGTGTTTCTTCACAACACTAGTTAAAAGTGTCTTTACCCCTGCAGAAAACCTTTCAACTGAAATAAATCCCGTAGGCTGGTTAAATAAATGTATTGCGACAGCTTCAACTCTTGATATTAAAAGTACTATAAATATTTCAATGTCCTCCTCAGTGCTGCAGGGAAAGTAAAATGCTCCTTGGGCAAAGAGTTATGTGTATTTTAGTATGGGCTACGACAGAGTTACGGGCTGAACTTAGCATGATCCCATATGTAATGGTCAGCTCCAATTTCCACAGCTGACAGTTTCTGATCATCCCCAAAGCGAAAGAATACTTTACATGAAAACTTTGAAAAGTGCTGTATTCTGGTAAATATATAAATACATATTCTCCAGTCCCAATATTGGAAAACATACAAAGAAAAACCTATAACTATCAAGGTATAAGCTGATTATTCAGCCGAGTAACAACATAATTATTCATGATTAAACAAGGAAATGTAATTGATAACTGGAGGCACTTATAATTGAAATCCTATCTAATCGCACATTTAGCAGACTACAAATGTAAGTATTATGTATTATTTTGATGTGGCAAAGACTTTCTTTCAGCTATGCAGCAAAGGCAGCGCATTACATGGAAACTTTATAAATGCCACAGGCCTACTTAAATTACCACTTCCCCCCTCAAAAATTCTTATATAACTTAGATTCACTATTCATGACATCAGCTGACAAGATGGCCTAAAAACTGTTGTAACCTAAATTCAAAAGGATATGTACCTAAAACACTGCCAACCAAACACATGCCGTGACTTCTATGCCTGTGGGTAAAGAGGTGTAACATGCAAAGTAAAAGAATCAACAAAAACAACTATAATAATTAATAAAATAATAATTAGTGATCAAGAGGTTTGTTTTCCCCCATTTCTTATAAGATAGAAATCTGTAGCAAACATTAAGCTTACGTGCATAGCCGTATAATAAGAAATGCTATATTATTAATTAATATAATTTTTACAAAAACAATGCTATGATTATAGAATTGATCATTAATACTGGCAGTCAATACCAAATAAGGCAAATACCGTTATATTCACACCTAGTTGTTCCTCTAACTTCCTGATTCATTAGCTACTTTTAACATACGGTAGAGTGACGTTTTCCCTGCAGGTCAGCAGAAAAAGCACTAAACAGATGTGCAACCATGTGTAAGCAAACATTGACTTAAATGCAACTTATTCAAAAGAGCTTCTTAACTGTTTTTGGACGGGCTTCCTCCTCTTTCTGCCCGCATACATGCAGTCTCCCGGAGGGATCATGATCTTGCGCTCTGTGGAGGTAACAGGTGCGCTGCGGAGGAGACAGAAAAGACGTTAACTTAAATATGCCTGGTGCAAGAAACTTTACACATGCAAGTCATTCCAGATGAAATGGATCAAATCCCTGCTTGTAATACTAATTATGCTAACTATATGTCTTAATTAGTCAAATATGAGGCATCTGAGGTTAACGGTTCACAAATAATGGCCAGTAGTTACAAATGACAAAACACACAGGTGCAACTCATCCAATCAATCATTAGCAACGGAAGACATGCCGCGTCGTTTAAAATAAAGAATACAATAATATTGCTTTTTAAGACAAAAAAATTACATAAAAATAATAAAAGCACTGACCAAAAATCCCTGGGGATGTCAATTAATTCCAGTATAGTGATGGCTGTGGAGTCACATTCACTTAAAGTGCCGAAAAGAGATGCGTCTCCTTGGATGCACCGACTCGGTAATGCCAAATAAATCCAAAGGAAATAAAATAAATCGCAGAGGTCCTGTATGAGCTCCGAACTGATGTTTTCATCAGCTTTGCACTGCTCGGAGCAGATGTTGGCTGATGCTTTATACCCAATTGAGTCGCCTTCACTTCCTCGCGTTTCAGGTGGCGGATTCCTCTGAATGACATGTCGAGCTCTTCGCACGCAACTCTCTGCCTCACAAACAGAGCGCCAGCGCACACACTTTCGCACACACACACGCACGCGCACGCACACACGGGCTTAGTCCTGCTGCTTTCAAGTACTGTCCGCTTATGTGCATTTCGGTCTTTCAATATAGCTTTCCAGTTTCATGTACGTGTGTTGCAATTACGCTACTGTAATACTTAGTATAACAACAATAACTGCATACACATTGTATCATTGAAGCTTATATACGTTTTTGCATAATTGTATAAACAAAATTATGAATTTGCGCCTCCAAAAGCATGTTCTCTTTATTTTGTGGCCACATCATCTGTTTGGCTTACTAAAATATGTATATACGTCACCGAAAACGGTGTAGCCTATTAATGTGCTATATTGACTAAATAATGTGTATTTTTTTGTTAAGTTAAATTGAATTCTTGGTTGGTTTTTATATTTACGAGGAGCACATGAAAGTAGCAGTAGCCCAACCCGACCCGAGCGCAGCCGCGCGCCGCACACACACATTTTCGGAGCAGTGCGAGGGGAGGGATCACACGCGAAGGGCTGCAGAAGCACAAATCTCCAGATTCAGATCGAGGCTTTCCGCGGTCGACGGCAGTCAGGGACCTGAGAGACTTTTACAACCCTTTAGAAAACAAACAAACAGTTAAAAGCGAAACCTGCTATACTTGCATATAGGGTTATGGTGCGTTGGACGGGACCGGGCTTCTTTTTACCGACCAATTTATTCTGTGGACTTTTAAATTCAAGTTGGCTTTCTGGGACAGATTTGGCAGCTGCGTCAAGCAACTAACAACTAACTAACAACAAGTTTACACCGGAAATACACTAATGCCTTCAAAACAAAAGCATTAAGTTGTCACCGATCTAACCATAGATATATATTTGTTTATATATATCTATGGATCTAACTACATGATGTAGTTAATCTGTGGAGGAGTAAAATTGTATTTGTATAGTGTGCTGTTGCCGGTATAATTGTAGTGTTGATGGTGCCAATGTTGCACTTTGTCCTGTATATCATTTTCTTAATAAGAATTGGAACACATCCTCGATAGCGATATTGTTGTGTGTAGTTTTATTTTGGAATTCTAAACCGGAAATGCTATTGCAATCTGGTTGAAATCACTAAGTAATTCAATGTATGTTGAATATTGCAACGTAATGTAATTATTCATTGATCGATAAAGCGATTATACACGGTCTACGGTAAATAGAATGGAAGACGTCGTGTAAACTTGGCTTTATGGTATGCATCCGCAGACTTCCTCAAATGCATGTGGATTTACATGATGCAAAACAGTTTGTTCTTGCATCGGTTTACAACTATTTTAGTCATCAAAAAGGCTTATGTGGTTGCGATAAGCAATTAAATGCACTCATGCTTGAACTTTGGATAAATGTTGGATCCCATCTGGAAAAATGCCTGCAAGAAAAAAACCACTAGCAACAAATGATACTGACTTTTTGATACTGCTCTGGTTGTTATCAGAGAAAAAACACCAGGACAGGGTCCTTTCTCCATGCTTTGTGATTCTACAATTAAGATGTGTAATGTAGAAAAAGGAAGCATGGCATGTCAAATCAGGTGTTTTTAAAACATGTTTCAGAGCTTTTGAAAAAGGTTTAAAAAAAAATTCTGCTTGTAAAACGTTAACCTAATAAAGTATACCACTGTAATATTTTGTGTCTTGTCAAAGAATAAAATCCAAGAATAGTCTGAGAATAAATGCAAAGTATTTTTTAGTTTGTAAGACAGTCTACTGTACTGCATCCTAGTGTACACATTCAAGCACTACACACAATCAATACAACACAAATTGCTGTTGTGTATTTATGTGTATCATGCATGCATAAATAAATAAACACTTTTTGTCTTTAAATAAAGATGACATGGTAGAGGAGAACCAATTTGGTGACGTAGTGCCATATGTGATCAGCCATGCAACCAGAAATAGGCAACTATGCTTAAGGGTGGCAGTGGGTTTGATTCTATCTATGCATTTTACAAAAATGTCCTTATTGCCCAACAAAATTAATAAACTTTATGACATAATGAAGGCAAATACATATTGGCTGTTATACAGTATAATCTCTTGAGAGTACAGAAAAAAGAGACAAATAAAATATCCTTTACTTATAGTATTTCTTAAATATCTAGAAGGCTAGCACAAGAAAAGTGTAACATAATGGTCAATTCGTGAAGTTACTTTAAATTCAATTTTAAACATATCCTGCACTGCAGAAACACACATTAAGCAAATGCAATCTCTCGAAGACTTAATTTCTATTCAATCAAAAATACTTATAAAGATAGCAAGGGAGTCTATAGTAACATAGCCAATATGTGGTGCTTTTATGGGGCTCCATCTAAGATCATTTTCAGAAAAACTCATTGTATTAATGTATCCATCAGGGGTTGAAGAGGTCCTGAGGTCCTTTTAAGGCTGTCAGAGGCTGCCATTAAAGCCACTGGGGCCTTTAGTATCAATGCAAATCCACTGGCAACACTATCCAAGCTGCCTTCCAGATTAGCTCAGGCTTAAAGCTCCGCTAACACCGCAGGGACAGACCTTAGCACGCGACCCTGGGTGCCTGTGAGTGCATGTCTGTGTGTGTGTGCTTACAGCAGGTGTGTGTGGTTTGATACACATTTCAGAACAATGACCACGGAGCCAAGTAGGACTTCCTGAAAGCCATCTGCCAGCTGCAATAGTATGGCTTTCATTGATTATAATGTCTGTGTTAGCGTCACCAGGGGATTTCAGGAGGCGTGCAGAGCAGGGACATGACAAGTCTGATTCTAATGGACATTCATAATGGATGGGATGGTCGATATCAGAAAAACAAACCAAAAACATAATTAACATGTAACACTAAATACAGTGGAATTTAAGTTGTTGGTCCAAATGTTGTCAATTTTAACAACGATGCGGATATATGTGATGAACCATAGATGACCCTGAAATCAGAAAACGCTGTTGCAAAGTAGGAATTGTGTTGTCAGGATTTGTGGAGTATAATCCATGAAAGCAGATAATGTTTAATGGACATGACCAGTTGAAGAGGTCCGGCTAGGTCAAACAGGATGCATGTTCTGAGCCTTACAGTGCAGAAACACTCCAGCAACTAATTTGGAATCCATTTGCTTTCACAAATTCTGGAACAAACCCTAACCCTGATGTGTTTAATACCACATTTGAACAGATTGAAGGTTTTATAAGGACAAGGAATAGATCTGCCTTGATCGCATAAGACCATGAGACTGAAATCCAGGACAAAATTAGACAATGAACTGAAAGGCACTGAGTGAACTGCATGACATGACAGAATATAACTACAAAACAGAGAAAATTCACAATTCTGAGATACTTAAAGCAGTCATTACAGATTGTTAGGGATCCAAAAGACTGCTCTTATCTTCAAGACAATTCTAAGATTCAAATATGCTCTGTACGATTGGAAAAAAGGTGTTAATCAAAACTATATGTGAGATTTTTGAGTCAAGCAAAATGGTCAGAAAAATCACTTAATTTATCTTGCTGATCTAATTTGTTATGTAAAGACAGGCATATACAGGATTTATTCATCCCAATATCAACAATAGTGCAGCTATATTACAGTGTTTTTTTATCTCCAAATCAGTTTTTCCCTCGCTACAGACAAGGCATATCCCCAAATCCCCAAATGGAGCCAAATGCTACAAAATACAGGACACTTCAAACTGGTGCTTTCCTGCCACGTCTCCCCGCGTCCAGGGCTGCCGATTCGTTTGAGAGGGGAAATTGTGTTTCAGTTTTTGTGGGGATAATCTTTGGTTGATATATTTGGATTTGAGTATTTCGGAGGTCATTTTATGTTCAGCACCAGGGTCAGAGGGAGGTTGAGGTTTATTATTATGTCACTGCAACATCCTGTTTTAGTGAATCCATTTGTATCTGTGTGAGATTGTGAAGTACACACCAAAATAAAGGGGGGCAGAGATACAGGGAAAGGGGCAAAGTGTTGTGTAACAGAGGATTCTGGGAAATCCGAATTAGTAAATGTTGCTAGAATGAACGCTGACAGTCAGCAATATTTTTTAGATAAACAATAGATGTGCATGCTGTTTATTAAATGCACTTGTAGCCTTAATTAACAATAGCTAACACTTGTACAGTTTGAGTGACTTGTTAGAGCCGACAGGTCCCAACCTAAAATATGAGAGTTCACTGTGCACAGAGAAAGCTCCAGAGGGCTCTATCCTGCCCCCAACTAAATCAGAGTCTGAGTGACCAAGCATCATGACACACACACACACACACACACACACACACACACACACACACACACACACACACACACACACACACACACACACACAGTAGTAAAGCCATTGCCCTGGGTGATGCACATACAAAAACCGCACAGGCTTGTACAGCCAGAGGCCACAAAGTGAATTTCATTGTAATGACGTCCAAGCTTTTAGGGAAGATTCCCAAATGACAGGATACTACTCCATGTTGGGCAACGGAGTCCCAAACACCTGCACACACACCTGTGGGAGGACAGTACCATCACAACTCATTGGGTTTAAGATTTTTCAATTTATCTTGCATTTCTTTTAACAGGTAGATTAGAGTAGATTTGAACATGTAAATTATTGAGCTGACCATAGTTCAATTATCTTAAAATAGACTTTTGCAGCACATTTGCATGCGTGAATCTTCAAAGCTTCCTTAAATCTTGACAGTATTGTATATTTTCTTACACATGTACAATATACCGGTAAGGTTTAGTTTAGTCTATCCTTAGTGTGTCCTTTTAGAAGTACAATATGTACTGTGACAGGCAATGAAGATCGGAAAACTGGCCCTTAATGAAAAAGTATCTCTTCTGGAGATCTTAACTCAGGGTTCTTCAGTCAGCCGTTTTTACCACAGACAGGTCCATTTTCAGCTGATGAGGCAGATATCTTGGCTAAGACTGTCGGAATCTTACCAGTAGCAGAAGAGTTACAAATAGAGTTTTAAAGAAAATAATTTACAAAATCAAAGAAATGGTGAGTATTTACATTTGTGACTTCTTTAAGGGAGCCATGATCTGTATATGTTGTTAATTTAACTACTGCATGACTACTGTTTTGACAATATTATTAAATGGTATTAGAATCCAATCAAAACCATATGTGAATCAATTCAATTGGGAGGAAATTGAATGAGTCACTCCATTTGCTGCCCACATGCCACAGCAATGTTGATATATTCCAAATGTATTTCTCTCCTGCTTTTTTGTACAGCTAACATATGACTGTACATCTGAACACTCAATCTGCCACAGCCCCGGAGAGGAAAGCTTTTCTACATTGAGTGATGCTTTTCATTAAACTCTACAGGAACCACGTCTGTCGGGCCAGTCTTTATCCAGGTCATCACAAATTATTTCGACAACCCCAGTGTCACTATTTGGTCATGTGTTGGGGTCGGGCTGTGTTTAATCAAGGAGTTCTAATTTAAAACACATTCGCTTAGCTGATCTTGCTCACAGTGTCTAATGAAAACTTAACTTAACTAACTTCACTTGGATATTTGAGCTTCACTTTTGAACATAAACCTTAGTGTAAAACATAAATGTACAAGCAGGATTTTGTAACATAAGGTTTGGAAGCAATTCATGATCCAGAATTGGACTTGGACAAGTATGATGAGTGTCCAATGCAGATACAAAGAGAACTGATTGTTCAGGTATCCAGCAGATTGCCTTTCAAAAAAAAAATTATATTTATAAACTGGGAAGGGAATTGAAAAAAAAGTTCAATAATAATAGAACCATGCCAGACCTTATTGAAATATTTGAAGCAGAGTATTTGTATGCTTCTTAAACTTCTCTGGAAAAGATCTCTTAGTTTCAGTAGTAGAACACTTTTCTTTTTTACATTGGTTACAGTGGTTTTAACGAGAACCTAAAAGAGAAAATTACAGCATAATGGTAAATGCTAAAACATAGCTTTTCACAAAAGTAGAAGAATCACAAGGTGAGTAAAATCACTTAGACATTCAAGTACAAATGAGCAAGGACGCATTTTAGGGAGCTTAACATAACCATCACACATGAATAGAAGGTCACTGCCACCTTGTGGAACCTGGTTTCCAACTATTAAACCCAAACACCAATAAATAGAGTTTATATTCAGTTTATTTTTGTTCTGGAGCATTTCACAGATTTCATTCCTGTTTTTAATGATTCAATTCAGCATCCAGATTCTTCTTTGAAAGCGTTTACTCACCTTTCCACAGGCTCAGAACGATACTAAACAGGATATGATATCGGTTTCATCTCATATTGATCCGACCCATGTGAACACAAACCATGGTGGATTTAAATCTTGGATTTTAAGTACCGAATATTTTGGAATGATGTAGTGCTTCGTAAGGACGGAGCCAGATGCAAAAACATAGAACAGGCTCAGTGGAAACTTTTGCACAATGCCTGTCTTTAAATCTTAATGTATACTGCTCATAAAACAATCCCCAAATGGGTTTTTGCCAATGTCCTCTCATTCTAAGTCAAATAAAACCTTGAACAGTAAAAAAAAAAAAAACCTTATGCATCATCATAATGTTTATTTAACTACTAAATAAAAATCCTCTTTTTTTACATAGTGGTCTATAAGGCAAGGCACGTTTATTTATATAGCACCTTTCAACACAAGGCAATTCAAAGTGCTTTACAAAAATGAAAGACATTAAGAGCATTAAGAAACATATTATAAAATGAAGACATAAACACACTAATAAAAACTGTCCCAGAGAATGGATGACTATAATAAACCTTTGCTTATCCCTTTTTTCCCTCACTTCATATTCTTTTCTCATCAGTGCACCTTTTAAGTCTCAATCACAGTATCACTAATACAGTACCTGTAGGTATTTGTTATACTCATAATCTGTCTCTTTCTTTCTCCTGACTTACCTTTCCGTTTTAACAATACATAGGCTGTGTCTCTCACATTTGTTCGGATACTCTCTACTCTCAAACCCCTTTGCGTAACCCTTTTCGCTGCATTAGCAGTAGATTTTGCGACATTTGTGCGTTGCAAATTATTCTGCTTTGGACTCAACCAGCCCTGTCATACCTTTCCTGCTTTAGGATCCATAAGAGGAATTATTTAATGGGATTGATCCTATAAGCAGGGTCAGGGTCTTGTTGGTTGTTTTGCTGCAGCATTCCATTGCACGAGTAGTCTGGGACACGTCCAGAAGACTCCATTTAAGTCGTACCTTGGCTGTAGGTTGCCAGCATTTTAGTCTTATTCCAAGTACCTTTGATGTACTTCCTGTTGCACATCTGGGCTGCTAGGCTACCTTTTGTTGGAGGAACGAACCTGGTGTCTCATCCAACCTGTTGGTGCTAGGGAAAAAAGAAAAGAAATCAGATAAAGTGGTAGGGAGACAGATTATGATGTTGTCTTTGCATGTTTACGTGCTCAAATTTCTCCACTGGATTTGATAGCTTAGTTTTTTGACACTCACAGCGTGATTCACCTGGTTGTCTTGTGTTACTGGCGCTGCTACCAAAGGAAGACTGGAAGTTATGGATGGTCTCTTGAAGGATCTGCCTTTCACGGCCCTGATGACAACCAACAGCAGTATTAGAACAAGTTAACATTCTCAGGCAAAGATGATACTAATCCTGTACTTATTCAAAGCATTTCTGTCTATTTCTGCTGTCAATAGTTAGATTACAGAGATGAATGGAAACAAAGTTTTCCTGGAGAGAAAACGTTTTTTTCAAAGGTATGCACCTTCCCAGCATTGAGCTCTGATATGGCAGCCAAGATCTGTTGTCGGGGTCCGTCTGTTTTAATACCCAGCTCCCTCAGGTCTCCATCTGTTAGAGTCAGGAATGCCTCCATGTCCACCTAAAAGACGAGAAAAAAACACTGTATGAACCATGTGCAATAAATTAGATATCTACAACTTTCACCTCAATATGAGGGCAAAACTGTTCAGTCCATGCATTCCTTTCAAAAAACGATGTTATGGGAAAGTCGGTCCATTTGCTTTGAGAACAGAACAATCAAAATCGAAAGAAAGAGACAGACTTCATATCTGAAGGAAAAATGTGTTGGAATTCAATTTTGACAAATACCTCCTGTTCCTCAAATATGGGCTGGTATTTCTCCAGGGACAGTTTCTTCAAAATACCCGACAACTCGTCTGGAAAAGGCAAGAACATTAAAAAAAAAAAACTCATGTGTGTTCATTATTATATGTCAAGATCTAATGAGCACAAAGTGGCCCATCATAAGTGATCAAGAATGAGTTACCAACAACTAATTACTGCATAAATAATAAAAGCAATCAATGCTTATGCACATAAATGAACATTGGTTTCTGCTTTCCCTTAAACATCAGCCTACTTGCTAAATAAGTGTGGAATGAATGCTTGGCCAAACATGTTGCAAACAGAACGATGGTATCACCTTCATCCGTTATGGTTCCACTGCTCGAGCCACCACTGCTCTTGGAGCGAGGATGGGAGGAGGCTGAGGACAGAGAATCTCCCGGCCCGCTGGGGGGCTTTGGCGTTTGGGAGGGAGACGGAGTCAGAGTGGGCGACGTGCTCTTGGATGTGGAGGAGTTACCAGACTGAGGTCTCTTCTTTAAATCCATCTTCTACAAAGGAGAAGGGTGGATTCACTGACACTATAGAATACACTTTTTAAACACTTTTTTGACACCGTTATGACAGAAGAGAACACACAGACCCTTCTGGAGTGGATGTCAGGAGCAACCAGGCTTTGGTGGGAGTGGATTTCAGGGAGGCTGATATCAGGCAGCGGCAGGCGGTCAGCTGGGGGGGGCACTGAGGGTTGGCTGTGGGTCTGGCTGGGCAGCTTTTCTGGAGCTTGTGCCTTCACATCTATCAGGCCCGCTGCTCGCTTCCTTTGGGCTGCTATCTGGGAGAGAACACTGTCTGCGCTGCCCCCTGGTGGACAAAAGAGTACGTTACCAAGTGGCTAGAGTTAACTAAGTGTCACCGTATGTTTATTAATTTGTGTAAACCTGAACGGTTGTGCGAGTCCCGGTTGATTCCTGCCACTCCATTGGAGCCTCCTGAAGAGTGGGGGGAGTGATAGTGACCAGAGTTTGAAGGAGAGGATGAGGAAGGGCCTTTAGGGATGCTGGGAAACTTTATGGACCTGCTAACCACACGACTGATAGAAGTCTGAGAGGAGAATATAGGAAAAAAGACATGTGAATGACATCAAACATGGTTTTATACAAGCACCAGTCCTCTGACACACAAACACTCACAATATCTGAGTTTCCACTGCTGTTCAGCTTCCTCTGGGGGGGCATGGGCAGGCGGGGTGTTTCGCTCTTCCCCTCCCCGAGGAGACGCGAGCGGTCAGAGTTCCACGGTTCAAAGTTGGACGGAGGCAGGAAGGGAGGGATCACCGCTTTGAGTTTGTCATTGGGCAGACGGGTTAAGGGCGCACCACTCCTGAGCTAGAGGGCATAGAAAACATTGTTTAATAATCCAGTAACGCTCTTGGTCTAGGTAGGGTCATTTAATCACAACAAGCTTAAATCAAATCCAACCCTCCTACCATTGTGGTTATTAGAAAGTCCTCCTTTTCTGAGTTTGCCCTGCCAAGACCTGAAAAGGGAACAATGAATTACATTTACACATTTGACCTCCTTGTCTTTTGATATACAACGACTGTATGAGATCTTTACGAATTCAAGGATCAACATGAAGATATGCTGTCACTCCCCACCCGTGAAAAATAATGCCAACATTTAAAAAGCAGCAGATCACTCTGGAGCTACACAAGGCACAAATAGACTTGATGTGTGAAATTGGTAGAGTTCCCCTGATAATCTAAACATCTGATTTGTTACAGACTACAGTAATTAGCTCTAAAACGGATGAAGAATTCATATTATTCTCTGTCTCACCAGAATCTTTGCTCTTGACAGCCCAAGCAGTGTTGTTGTCGTTCCCCCCCATGGCAGAAGTTGATGCCAGCGCCCCATTAGACACAGCAGCCTGCTTCCTATCCGCCTTCATTGTGGCATCCAATGAAGCTTCAGCATCGTCTGGAAATGGAGCCAGTCGGTTGGACGAAAGACTGTGCCTCAGGGTGTGAGTCAACTTAAGCCGACGGAACCGATTGGACATCCGGCTCCACCAGGACTGGAAGGAAGTCCGACATGTTAATGTGATTTTTAGTTTAATATAATTGATCAGTGTTAGATCGTTTGGATTTGTATTCATAGGACTTGTCTTTTACCTTTAAGCCTCCCTTCTCGTCAGGTGGCACAGGGGCGTTATTGAGGGACTGTCGGCTTTTGGAGCGAGTTATTAATGCTTTGCCACGGTGTTTCGACTTGTCCTTGTCTACTTGCATACAAACTGATGCTAACAGACGCACCAACTCCGTATCTAAAAATATCCAAAATAGGAAGAGAGAAAATAAATAAGGATTCACTGAGTAAAACAATTTTTTTTAATAACAAGTACCTCCACACTATGTCCTAACTAAACATTCTTAAGATTACTTGATAAAAGAGAGAAATACCTGCTATTATCTTTTCAAATGGGTTCTGCTGTTTTCACAAATGGTGGATTTATGATTTTGTTAGTTCTGCTATTTATAACGTTTTATTTGGAAGGAAAGTGTTTTTAAACAAGAGCACATTTTCTCAAAGAGGTGTTAGAGTAAAGTGATAAAAGTGGGGGGTACCTGGGTCGTTCAGCAACATGACCAAATCAAAAGCTGTGTATCCATTCTTAGCTCGGAGGTTGACATCAGCCCCTTGACTCAACAGGTACTTGACAATGTCTTTATTACTGAAAGGAGGAGGGAGACAGAGAACACAAAAGAAGAGTGGGAAAGTAGGATAAGGTCAGCAATCATAAAAAAATTACCTTTGATCAATTTACCTACAATTATTTCCTTCTTACCCATGATAGGTGGCCTGCATTAAAGCGGTCCACCCATGGACACCATCTTGTTTGTCTATGTCGGCCTTCTTATCCACCATCAGCTGCACCACCTCTAGCTGACCACTCACTGCCGCGATCATGAGAGGCGACGCTCCCTCCTGATTGGATGAGTTCACCTGAGTAGGATCCTCCTCCAAGATCTCCTTGACCAGCTGTGAATTTCCTGAGTAAAGAAACACACATGTTTTACTACAAATCCTACTTTAATGTGTTTAGTTTTGATAAATCTTTGAATGTTCGATTTAACTCACCCAACTTGAGAGCACTGAACACATCTGGTCTTCTTCTCTCATCGTCTGTGGAGAAAGTCAGTGATATACTGAAACAACAGTTCTACTTGGCCTGACTCCACATAGCTCAGCATCATCTGTGTGTAAGTGTGTGTGAGGAGGGTTATGTAAATAAATATTAATCACTGCTGAGCTCCCCACTCACAAGTGTACTTTAAAAACAGAGAAAGAAGAAACACATTACACTTAAAGATATATTTAAAACACGCTGTAAAAGGAAAATGTTCAGTGCTGCCACGATTGTTTAATACATTTAGGGTAAAACCACTAAATTATGCTTTACCTATAATTTGTAGCTCTGCCAATGGCACTGCTTTTACATTAAAGTATGAGCCAGATTTATCGTTATTGATTGGTAGCTTACATGAAAGTGTCAAACAGTGTAGCCAGAAGTGAGCTCAGGTTAATGTTTAGTTTCAGAAGGACATATCATATGCAATGACCTTTAAAATCAAAATAAAAGGCTCGTATGTAGAAAAGAAAACTGAGCTAAGAGCTGCCGGTGAGAAGAGCTATTGAACATCAAAGAGGCTGACAGCTGCCATTGTTCGCACATCAGTGATAATTGCATTGCAAAACAGTAACACACAGAGAGGTTGCCATTTGTAGATACAGGTTGAAAAAGAGACAGATTTAAATTCTCTATTAAACTTAATAAAAACACAAAAATAAGTTCCAAGAATTCAACTCATTTTCAGACTATCTGGGAAGGAAGCCTTACCTGTCTGTGGTCGCACAGTGGTGATGGAGTCCAGATAAGCCTTGATGTCCCTCTGTTTAAGCTGCATGGCTAGTTCAAAGGCCGTGTTGGACAGAACATTGATCCTGTCTGGGTCCGCTCCTCGCTCCACCAGCTGCTGAGCCACAGCCACCTACGAAACACACCCACTTTATTCATCAAGATATTCCAAAGATACACATCACACACAATCCGTCCATCTGGTTTATCTATCCATAGAACCCACTTTCCCGCTGAGGGTGGCCACCATCAGTGGTCCCCAGCCAGTGGTCTTCTGAGAAAAGTTGACATCAGAGCCCCATTCTAGCAGCAGGCGCACCGTGGCCTCGTGGCCATGCTGAGACGCGACCATCAAGGCTATGATGTCCATGAATTCTCTACCGCCACCGTCTCCTAGACAGCTTTCACTTCCTCCAAAACCGTTCCCACTGTAAAAGAGAAAGCCACATTAGTTTGGAAGAAACTGATAAACAAAAGTTGAAGACTACACATTTAAAAAAGAAAAGGTAATCTAAATGTAGTTTTGTTTTAGTTTGTCTGGCATAAACAGTCCCTACCTGCAGCTGTTGTTGTTGTTGCCGTTGGATACTGCCTCTGCAGCAATAGCAAGATGATCGTAGTCATCAGCGTAGGCCCCGCTCTCCAGGAGTAGCTTGACTACATGCGTGTGTCCCCCACGAGCGGCCATAGTCAGAACACTTGCACCGAGCCGGTTCCGTCCGTTAATCTCTGCCCCGTTCTCCAACAGGATGTGGGCAACAGTCAGGTGACCAAACCTGGGTGGAGAATAAGGGACAGAGAATAAGAAATGCGGTTTAAGTAAACATTTCTTCCTAGCTTAAGAATCAACTCTCAGGAAGTTGACAAGGCACAGTCCTACTTTCATTGTGACAATTAAGTTATGTCACAATTTTGAAAGGAAATGTGAGCATCTTATAGATTGGCACACACACGTGAGAACTCTACATAGACAGCTAGACAGATGTTGTTCATCAGACCGTTGCTGTGTGACCCATTGGAGCAGACACATGCAATTTTTGCATAATAACAATGCTAGTAGATATGAATTATCTATCCCTTTTTAATCCAATCTCAGGGTCTTTACTAAATGGTGTTTCTTGTGTGTGTACTTAACTGTACACTTGGCACTATGATGAAAAAATTAGTAAAGATATGAACACGAGTTGGCATCAGACACCAAAATGCACCAAGAAAAGGGCTAAAAACATTCAAATTCAACTGAATGATTAGAATAAAGCTTTATTTAATTGTAAAAAGAAGATAGTAAGCACATGATGCTCCGCCAAACTCCATGCAACCAAAAAAAAGGAAGAAATGTGGCCGTTTCTAGTTGACAAATTAAAGAGTGGCTCCTGACAATGTCTTCACTGTATTGTGAAGTTTTTACCAACACCAGCATGACATGACAAACTTAAGATCACCAGAGTTTTAATGAAGGTTGGTGAGTCCTTCTCCTATGTCTTTAGAACAGTGTAATGAACTTCAGCCCGCAGCCCCACCTAGCAGCCTGCATCAGCGGGGTCCAGCCGTAGTTGTTGCGGCTATCCACCGATGCCCCCTTTCGTAGCAAAAACCGGACCAGGTTCTCATGACCGCTGGCTGAGGCAAACTGTAGGGCGGTGTTCCCCTCCTCGTCCGTAGAGTCCACCGGTACCAGAGACAACATGTCCACGGTATTGCACTCCGACCCCACTTCTGACCGCAGCCTGCTCTGCCTCCCGGAGTCTTTTGGGGCTCCGGGCTCCAGGATACCTCGGGCTGTTTCATAGTCCCCCTCGTCGCACGCACGGAAGAGCAGCAGCGAATTAGCGGGGACACCGAAATTCATCTTCTAATTTAAAGTGTGTCTCCGTTCCCATTCCACTCCAGTTAGTTGCATCGACGGTAACGGTCTATAACTTTTCGTCGGTCATTTGGCGGCGGCCTATGATTGGAAATCATGACGCAAGGCAAAATAAAGTTTAGACGTCGTGACAATTACTACCCTTCTTTTTCACGAAAACTAGAACCACACAACCATCTTTACGATAAAAACACTTTCGTCCTTACTTAACGGGTTTCAACAAAACAACTTGTGGCAATTATCCCCAGTTCCGTTATTTGTTTAACCGACACACTTGACTTCCGCTTTTATCTTTCAAAATAACATCCTAAGAACAGTCAATCACGTGTTCTTTATACAATGCCAGGAATTCAATATTCATAACGTAGGCTACACTCATGTCATTAATACAAGCTTTTCAATGTTTTAAATGCTATTATTGCTTCTCATACGTGGATCAAGTTTGAATGTAGCCAAGTTAGTAAACAGGATAATATAGTTGTTTTATTTTTTTACATTTCTACCGGATGTAAGTGTCTGCCTCTCTTGGGACAGTGCAAACGAAATCTCCTTTACCCAAGCATAGACTGTAAAGGTAAGGCTTTCCATCAAAGACCACAAAAAATAAAGTAATGAATGAATGCTGCTTCAAACAAACAGCATCTAATATGTAATGGAATTTAATTGAGTGTAGTCTGTCATTCCGGATGCATTATATACAAATTAAAACAAAGACAATTCAACAACTAATACATTTTTTGAACACTTAGTATTTTTTATTCTTTAGCCGCACTTGCAAACATATAATATATAAATGTAGGTTGCTCCCGGCCGACACAATTGTGTCTTTTCAATGTTTTATTCATGATTCATACAATGTATTGTCAATGAAAGGTTGCTGGACCTTTTCACATTGAACACACCTCAGGTGTCCTTGTTGACAGGTGTTCCCACTTAAACAGTAATTAACACAGCCTTGAGGATCCTTTAAAAGAAGCTTCTTTGGATTCTGAAGACATTGTGGAAAGCTGCTTGTTGGAGACGCTTGTTGCAGTTAGCAGGTATTAACGGTGGTTTGGGTGTTTCATTTTTTTTATTTGTACTTTTTGCTAAATTGTTAATATAACCACTTTTGTCTATGCTTTACCTACAGTTGCTTGAAGAAATCACACAGCATACATATCCTGAATGTACCTGGATCTCTAACTAAAATCATGTAAGTAGACAACTGACTTGTAGCTTATTGATTGGTAAGATTTAAACCTAATCTAAAATGAAATCTCTCTGCAGGATGTTGTGGATTTCCTGCATGCTTATTGGCTACATAACCTGTCGTCCTATACAACAAGGTGAGACGATATTGCCTTAAGATTTTTACAATAAAATAGAGTAAAGTGCTAACATGTTTTTCCTTTTGAAACAGAAAATGCTGCTCCACGCTTCATGCATTGGCCACCCCCTTCTAGCGATCGGTATTGGGGAAGAAGGGCCAGTTCTGACCCGGGCAGCAGCTCCTATCTACCAACCAGTGTACCGCTACCGAGATCTACAAAGCTCCGCAACTTCCTGCTTGTCGCGGAGAGGCAGTTTCCAGTGCTGGCCTGGCAATGGTAGCATGGCTCCAGATGTCGTACCGCAGGCGCCTAACATGGCCGTGTGGTTAAAGCATGATATGCTA